ACGGACCCCGCCCCCAGGACGGACCCCGCCCCCAGGACGGACCCCGCCCCCAGGACGGACCCCGCCCCCAGGACGGACCCTGCGCCCAGGACGGACGGAGGCAGGGGGCTGTGGGTGAAGCCGCGCTGGTCCTCTCCGTCCCTGTAGAGCGCCGGCTGTGACGGTTTGCTGGGCTCGGACGCCCGCGAAGACCACTGCGGCCGCTGCGGCGGCGCCAACGAGTCGTGCCTTCTGGTGCAGCGCGTGTTCCGAGACTCCGGTGACCGCCCGCTCTGTCCTCCCCGCTAACCAGAGCGGTCCCTTTAACGAGCCTCGGGCCGGAAGCGAAGTCCCGAGCTGATTGGGCAGTCTGTGGCCCAGCCCCCTCTCGCTGATTGGTTATTCCCAGATGGCCCCGCCCTTCCCGGAGCAGATAGAGGTCTAACTCTTTCCCTGCTGTACTTAAGCGAGAATAACGCTAACTCCAAAAGTTAACCCATCGTTTGGGGCTACCAGGACCCCCTCGTACCTTCTTACCGCAGTATCTCATTTAATCCTCAAATCGTCCCTCAAATACGCTCCCACCTGCGCCCCAACCCCCTCCTTTCCTCCCACCCAGGTGCTTTCGCCGGGTACTGGAACGTGACCCTGATCCCCGAGGGTGCCAGACACATCCATGTAGCCCACCGGAGCCGCAACCACCTGGGTATCGCGGAGTTTAAGGGGGGAAGCGCCCTGCTGGCCGCCTGGGAGCAGCGGGGGTATCCTGAGGCCGGGGGCGGAGGACGCCAGGGTCGGGAGGCGGACGGGCCGGTCCGGGAGCCCGGGCTGATCTTTCCCTTGCAGCGCTGATGGGGGGCGACGGGCGCTACGTGCTCAACGGGAACTGGGCTGTCAGCCCACCCGGGACCTACGAGGCGGCGGGCACCCGTGTGGTCTACACCCGCGAGGCAGGGCCAGAGGAGATGCTGAGCGCGGCTGGGCCCACCTCCCAAGACCTGCTCCTGCAGGTGCGGGCCAACTTCCGCGGGGGGGTGGGGGAGATGTAGGGGATGGTTGGGTTACAGGAGGGAGGCGGGGGGGGGGGCGGGGGGGCGGAGAGGGGAAGCCCAGCTGCGAGGTTCCAGCTCAGCTCCCTAGTGTGACACCCCTCCAGGTCCTCCTGCAGGAGCCCAACCCCGGCATCGAGTTCGAGTTCTGGCTCCCTCGGGAGCGCTACAGCCCCTTCCAGGCCCAGGCACAGTCCTTGGGCTGGTCTCTGCGGCAGCAGCAGCCTCAGGAGGTGGATGGGCAGCCCTCCAAGCTCCCGGCAGCCCCAGCTACCACTGTCCCACGGATCCCAACCCCCGCCCCAGGTGAGGCAGCACGGCCTGGGAGGGAGCAGGCAGGGAGGGGAGGCCTGTGCCCCTTACCGTACCACTCCCGCAGACCCCTGCTCACCCTGCCCTGACACCCGAGGTCGCGCCCACCGGCTGCTCCACTATTGCGGGAGTGACTTCGGTGAGAGACTCTTAACCCCAACCCTCACATGCCTCCTAATTGACCCGAACTTGACCCGTCCTGCTGACCCTTGACTCCCTGACTTGACTCCAACTTGACTCCTTCTGATCCTTTGCCCTAATCTGCCCTTTGACTTCTCATTGATCCCTGACCTCGCCTGACCCCAGCCCCTCCAGTGCCCCATCCGACCCCAGTTCCTTTCTTTGGCAGTGGGGTGTGGGTGGATGGGCGCCCAGGGTAGAGCGTCCCGCCAGCCTCCACATGGCCCTGCCCTCAGTGTTCAGGGCCCGAGTGCTGAGCCGCCAGCATCAGGCCCAGGAGACCCGCTACGAGGTTCAAGTGCGGCTCATCTACAAGAACCGCTCGCCGCTGCGAGCCCTCGAGTACGTGTGGGCCCTGGGTCGCTGCCCCTGCCCCCGGCTGGACCTCCACCGCGAGTACCTGCTGGCTGCCCAGCGCCTCATCAGCCCAGACGGCACTCAGGACCGACTGCTGCTGCCCCACACGGGCTATGCCCGCGCCTGGAGCCCCGCGGAGGACAGCCGTGTGCGCCTGGCCGCCCGCCACTGCCCCAGCTGAGCCCCTCGACAAGGCCCCTGCCACGTGCCACAAGAAAGACACGCCGGACCAGGAAGCCAGGAGATATCTTACACCTCGAAACTGCGTGTCTGCTTTGATTCCCTTTGCCTCACACTCACGTTCTTAGAGACACTGTCACGAACAAGCCCGTGCTACCAGGAAGCTCGCTGCTGTTTAACCTGACGCCCTGTGCTTTCTCCTCTCACAGACACACAGAGACTGCGTATAGTCAAAGACGCTCTAACAAACAGGCCCATCCCCAGAGGACATGCCTGACGAAACTATAATGTCCCGCTTTCCTGGTTACCAGCAAGGCCAGAGATAATCTTGAGGACCTTAGTAGTTCGGCTGGGTTTCTTTCTCTCCTTCCCTCTTTCTCTCTTAAAGCTTTTATTTTATTTTTTAAGCTTTTATTTATTTATTTTTAAAGATTTTATTTAGTTATTTGACAGAGAGATCACAAGTAGGCAGAGAAGCAGGCAGAGAGAGAGGAAGGGAAGCAGGCTCCCTGCTGAGCAGAGAGCCTGATGCCGGGCTCGATCCCAGGACCCTGAGACCATGACCTGAGCCGAAGGCAGAGGCTCAACCCACAGAGCCCCCCAGGCGCCCCAAGCTTTTATTTTTTTTCAGTAGCCTCTACACCCAGCGTGGGGTCCGAACCCACAGCCTGGAGATCAAGAGCCGCTCGCTGCACAGACTGAGCCGGCCGGGGCCCCTGGCTGGTTCCTTTCAGGCAACGCCACCATCCATCCCGCTTGTATTGAATTTTTCAAGGCACCTGGTTAAGCATACTGGGCCACAGACACCCTGGATGTCCTCGTACCCAGACCCACAGTTGCGCTGTCCCTGTGTGTACCCCAGCCCTGTCCTTCTCCCAGCCCAGTGCACCCTCCCACGCCCCCTTGGGGGCCATGCTGTCCTTGCACGCCATCCAGGGCCGCCCCCCAGGAGAGGAGGCAGGTCACAGCTCTCAGCCTGTCCCCTACACTCCTGTCCTCCTGGAGATCTGCTACTCCTATATTCTTCTGGGGCCAGGAGGGCGGACCTTGCTCATGTGTGCATTGGGGGTACCTGGGGGGTGTCACTCAGCAAACCATCTCCTTGGGGCTCCCTGGAAGGGCCCCCCCCTTTTACCTTCCCTCCCTGCTGGGTCGGCTCCCACGCTGCCATTTGGGGCAGTCTAACTCCTGTACCGTCCATGGTTGTGTTTTACTCTGGGACAAGGGCTGCTCAACGGGGAGGTCTCAGGTTCAGCCCCCCGACCTTGCAGGTGACCTGCTGCCAGACCTGGCCCCTCTCTGGGCCTCAGTTTCCCCATCTGAGCGTACCTTTCCAGCCCCTCGCAGCTCTGAGCATGGGCACCATGCTCTTTGGGCTCCGGCCGGGTCCTTGCACCCCCGGCCTCTCCATCCAGACCTGGCCCTGGTGCTGAAGGTGGGGGCCCCTCCAGTCCCTCCACAGAAAAGTGGGGCACAGTTCTGGAGGCGGCGCGATGCCCGGGCGCCCCCTGGTGGCAGGACGGGAAAGGACGGGATTCAAGGCTCCTGGAATTGCCTGCAGCCCCCAAGCACCCCCCCCCCCGGGCCGCCCACTGGCACCCACTTCTCTCCTGGTGCTTGCCTTCCTCGGGAACACCTCATCCCACACGCCAGCCTCCTCACATGGCACCCACGCCCAGGGTGCCTCTGTGCCTGTCGCTCCAGCCAGCACCTCCGCCCTCAGCCCGCGGCCGCCCCCTGTGCCGGGCTGCTGTCCTGCGGGTGTGTCGGGGAGTGGGGTCCGCGGGACAGCCCCGGCTCGAGCTCCCAAAGCAGCTGGCCCGGCCGGCGAGGAAAGGCCAGTGTGGGGCGCAGACGGGACGGCCTGTGGGCCCCCTCCTCACTGCCCCCTCCCTGGCCCGGCAACACTGTTTCCAGGGACGGTCACCGACAACCGCAGCAGACATTGCCTTGCTTCCTGGATGTGCTCTTCAGCTTTAAAACCAACAGGACAACAAGGAGAAGAGAGAAGTCACAATTCTAAAGACGGTCAAGTCCCTCCCAAGGGCAGTCAAGTCCCGCACAGGGATTAAAGCCACAGGTGGGTCAGGCAGAGCGATGGGAGCGGCTGCCCAAGCTCTGCGTCTTCCTCCACCATCGCCGGCTCTCGGCTCTTACTAGTTACCGTGTCCCCCGGGAATACGCTGTGCCTGTCGGGGTAAGGCTGAATCGGCGCCCGAGGGGCCCAGGGGTCACAGTCCAGAAGGTCTGCCTGCAGCCAGCTCCTGGCCGAGGCCTGGTGGCTCACAGCTGCGAATTCTCTGAACCCACTTCCCACAGGAGGCCATGTTTCGTCAAGGAGAAAGAACAAAATCAGGCACGTTTGGGAGCGCCTGGGTGGTTCGGTTGGTTAAGCGACTGCCTTCGGCTCAGGTCATGATCCTGGAGTCCTGGGATCGAGTCCCACATCGGGATCCCTGCTCGGCGGGGAGTCCGTGTCTCCTGCTGACCTCTCTCTTCTCATGCTCTCTCTCTCTCTCAAATAAATATATAAAATCATTTTAAAAAATCAGGCACGTTTGGAACACATCTTATTAGTAAAAGGATGAAAACTGCAACAAGGATCAGTGCCCCCCGGAAGGGTTCTCCCCGCAGCCCTGCAGGGGCTGGCTCTGTGGTTCCTGTGGCTTTCTTACTATTTTGTAACTCTCTACAGCCAGCATCCCCACCTACCCGCGCCCGTTCTTCCTTCCTTCTGACCCGGAACTAGAACTTGGCCCCAACAGCTGCTGAGAGTCCCCGGGGGAACCCAAAGCCCCCCAGGGTTACATGCGGCCCATGCCGGGAACTAGCATAGCCACCGGGGGGCACAGCTTGGCCGCGTCTGCTCCAGGTGAAGGGGTCCTCCTGTGACGGGCTGAACCCCCATCCAAGTCCTAGTCTCCAGACCTGTGAACGGGAGCTTATTTGGAAAAAAAAGTCTTTGCCAAAGCAGTTAAGAGTCTCAAGATGAGATCATCCTGGATTGTCCAGGCGGGCCCTAAACCCAGTGACAGGTGTCCTCGTCAGACAGAGGAGACAGCTGCAAGGCCACGGAGGCGGCACTGGAAGGACACGGCCATAGCGCAAAGATGCCTGGAACCGCCCAGCGCCGGAACAGGCGGAAAGGACCTTCCCCTGGAGCCTCTGGAGGGAGCTTGGTTCTGCCATGACCTGACCTCCACTCCGGCTCAGGCCTCCAGAACACGGGAGAACGAATCTCTAGCTGGAAGCCTCCCAGTGTGTGGTTATCCGCGTCTGGCTCCCCAGGACACTGCAATCTCCGACAGGTGCCCCAGGAAGCAAGAGCTCCAGTCACCAAAGGCCGGTTCTAGAATGTTCCTAGCAGCTTTCATCACAATAACCACACATGGGAAACCAGCCCAGCAACAGAGGAACGGTGTAGCTACACCGAATGGAATAGTGTCCTCACCACTCAGGACGAAAGTGCGGCTCACTCCTGCCGCGGGGGGCGAATCTGACAGCCGCGGCTCCGAGTGGCACCGGCGAGGGCCGGACACAGCGACGTAAGTGACATGCAAGGACAAAGTAAACACAGGATGGGGGCGCCCCCTGGGGGTGGCAAGTGACTGGGAGGGACTGGCCGTGTTGCCCTGCTAGCTCTGAGTTTCTGGTTACACTCTTCTGAACGTTGAAATTAAAAACAAAACAAGGGCACCTGGGTGGCCCAGTCGGTTGAGCCTTTGACTCAGGTCATGATCTCAGGGTCCTGGGATCGAGTCCCTGCTCCGCGGGGGAGCCTGCTTCCCCCACACTCGAGCCCCCACACTCATGCTCTCTCTTGCTCTGCCATCTCTTTCTCTCAAATAAATAAATAAAATCTTAAAAAAACAAACAAACCAGGTCTGAGGGGCTAGAGGTCATTGTTTCCACCTGGTAAGACAGGTGTGTCCTCCCACCTGTGCTCCCTGGCGAGCTGATCCCTGGAGGTCCAGGGAAAATCTTTGAGGGGACACAGCTAGAGCTTATTTTGCTGCGCCTTGGATGGCAGGGGTCAGTGCCAGGTGCAGAGCGAGCCTGGTGCCTCCTTCTCCCACCCTGGACTATGGCCACACCATGTTCTTCAAATAGCTGGGCCAGCGATAAGCAGATTCCGAGATCCCTGTCCCCCACACTCCTGTGGACTTCTCAGCCTGCAGCGGGAGGCAGGGGAGGCTCGTTAATGATTACACTCAGTCTCTCCCTCGCTCCCAGCAAAGCCTGCATCCCCAAGCAAAGGCAAAGTCCTCCCACACCTTCCAGGTATCTGCGAGGTCGGCCTCACCCACTCACCTCCTCTATCCCCTTCACTCATTCAGCTCTAGCCACACTGCCCATGGCACTCTTCCTCTAACCTGCCAAGCATAGTCCTGCCCCAGGACCTTTGCATGTGCTTTTCTCTCTGCCCAACAATGTTTGCCCTGGCTTTCATGAGACCCATGCCCTCTGACCTGACTTTCCTATCTCCTTCATGCCTCTACTCAAATGCCACCTCTGCAGGGGCGCCTGGGTGGCTTGGTAGTTAAAGCCTCTGCCTTCGGCTCGGGTCATGGTCCCGGGGTCCTGGGATCGAGCCTCGCATCGGGCTCTCTGCTCAGCGGGGAGCCTGCCTCCTCCTCCTCTCTCTCTCTGCCTGCCTCTCTGCCTACTTGTGATCTGTCTGTCAAATAAATAAAAATCTTTAAAAAAAAATGCCACTTCTGCAGACGGGTCTTTCTCGGACTGTTCATGCCATGGCCGCCACCAACTCCCAACTCTGCGCCGTATCCCCCCCCCAACACTCATATATTTTTCATACTGTTGTCACCTCCCCAAATCCTCAGGAGCAGGGATTTTTCTCTCTCTGGGCCGTTACTGTACCGTGGACTGTTGCGGCAGGACCTGGCATACAGTGGGCGCTCAGTATTTGCTGAATGAGCTAATTAATGCATTGGACCACTGGCAGCTCTCAGTGCTCCCTCCTCCTTCACTGGCATTCTCAAGGGTGAGGACACAGGCAGGGGGACAGGTGGCCACCACCAGCCGCAGACAAGCCGGGCCTGCTCTGGCAGGAACAGGGATGACATGTCCATGGACCGTGGGAGGCAGCACGGACACCAACAGTGTCTTCAAACGCTGTCCAGTGTCCCTGGGGCGAGGTTATTCCCGGTTGAGAACCACAGAATTACAGCCTTGCCAGCGCCCTGCTAAGTCTCCCCCGTGTGTTTCCGCCAGAAGCTGTGATGGGGGCGCCCGTGGGCTTGGTCGGTTAAGTGTCCGAATCCTGATTTGGGGCTCAGGCCGTGATCTCAGGGTGGCGCTCAGCAGGGAGTCTGCCTGAGAATCTCTCCCGCTCCCTCTGCCCCTTCCCC